TATGTATATTGTTACAGAGATAGAAAGAAGGAACTATATATAACAAGAGACATGTAAGTTTATACATACGCATATATAAAGCAAACGGAGTGACAGAGAGAGAGAGAGACATAGAGAGAGAGAGAGAGAGAGAAAGAGAGAGAGAGAGAGAGAAAGAGAGACATGCATAGATACACATACACACATAACGAGAGAGAGAGGGGCATACACACACATTCATATATATATATATACACAAGATTTTAAGGCTCGCTGCGCTTCGCCTTCTAATCTTGATCCTTGCACCTACGATGTTTCTGGGCGCGGGCGAGAACACAATTGTTCAATGAGGTGTGTGGGAATTGTGCGAGCGGAGGCGAGGCGAGGCGAGTGCGCGGTAGCGCCCGGGGCGGGGCTCAGGGCGCAGAGTTGGTGGACGCTGGAGTGGAGGTGAAGGTGGAAAGTCGGATGCCGGACGCTAGAGGTCGGAGTGCTGAGCTGATGGAGGCTGGAAGTCTATAGGTGGAAGTCCCACCAGCCCTTTAGGGCTACGGTGGTATAACGAGTTTGGTCTTCTCTCTTCCCCTTCCTTCCCCTGCTCGGGGGAGGGGTAACCTTCCCCTGGACCTGGAGGGGGGGGGGGATGGAGGCGTTTGAGCGTCCAAGATGGCTCAAGATGGCTCCAAGAGGCGTCCAAGTCGCAAGATGGCCTCCAAGATGGCCCAAGATACCTCAAGATGGGTCAAGATAGCCTCCCGACACACCTCCAAGAGTCCTCAAGACGGATCCACGTGCCCTTCGAGCCCTCCACGGCGCCCTCCAAGAAGCCAAAACCCTTCAAAAGCCTAAGGAAAGTCAATGTGTTTGGCATTCTCGTCTTTTCGCTTCCGATGGGCCCCTGAGGCATCAAGATGGCCCCAAGATGGCCCAAGAGAGCCCCAAGAGGGGCCCAAGAAGGCCCAAGACGGCCCCAAGATCGCCCAAGAGGCTTCCAAAGAGCGCTCCAACACGTCCCCAAGACGCCGTTTGAGAGCCTCCGAGGGGGGGACCTGAACTGAGGACCCCCGCTCTTTTTGAACAATGGGGCCCAAGACGGGCCCGAGAGGCCTCCCAGCCTCTCCTGAAGATTCTCCACCCCGCCCTTTTTGGCCCAAGATGGCTCCAAGAGAGCCCTAGATAGCCCAAGATGGCCTCCAAAATGGCCCAAGATAGCCAAGCATGGCTCAAGATAGAGCCTCCGACAGATCTCCAAGAGGCCTCAAGACAGCCTGAATATGGCCCAACATAGCCGAGCATGGCTCAGAATAGCTTCCGACAGCCTCTAGCCGAGCATGGCTCAGGATAGCCTCCAAGAGGCCTCGGGAAAGCTGGCAATCAATTCTGGACGGGCCGGTGGGGATACGCGAAGCGTCAAGAATTGAGAGGAAAGTCGGCGGCCGCATGCTGGAGGACGGGATGCTGACCTGGTAGAAGCTGGGAGTCCCGCGAGCGAAGCGGCAACACGATAGTGAATGAGAGATGTGGCCGGCGCCTCGGCGAGAGCACGGGTCCCAGTGAAAGCTGTCTTCTGTTTCCGTCGTTTGCCCTCCCCTCCTCCTGCTCCTCCGTGCCCTCCTTCCGTCTTCCTGGGGCCCCTCCTGTTTCTCGCAATCCTCACCGTTCCTTCCTCTTCCTCCTTTTTCTCCTCCGTCCCGCCTCCTGGTCCTTTTCCTTCTCTGCCACGCGGGCCCATTCGGCGCGCGGGCCAGCCGAGCCAAGGACGACGGCGACGATGACAACGACGACGGCGGCGACGACGACTCCCTGAAAAACTTGACCTCCGAACCTGTCCAGGAGCAGGAGGATAAAGAGCCGGAGGAGGAGGAGCAGCAGAAGGAGGTTGGGACAGGGGAGCTGGTGATAGCAGTCTGGGGTCTGGGGTATGTTTTAGTTCTCGCGAGTGTTCCGTGGGCTCCTGAGACGAAAGGAGAACTGCGCATCAAATTGTGGTTCCCCGGACCCTGGAAGCCTGTCGTGGGCCCTCTTCGGAGCCCCCTTGGTCTGTCTTGGCACCCCTGGTTGCTTTTGGGGAGCTTGTGATAAGAGTATACGGTCTGGGGCTTTTGACGAGGCAGCGGAGGAGGAAGACAACGAACTACAGGAGGAGCAAGAGGAGCAGGAGGATAAAGAGCTGGAGGAGGAGGAGCAGCAGAAGGAGGTTGGGAGGAGATTTCCGAAGAGTTGGTGTCGAGAGTTAGGTTGGAACCTTCTTGGACTTTCTTGGGGATGTCTTCAGAGCCTCGAAGGAGGAGGTTTCCGAACAGTTGGTGTCGAGAGTTAGGTTGGAACCTTCTTGGACTTTCTTGGGGATGTCTTCAGAGCCTCGAAAGAGCAGCTGGAGGAGGATCAGGAGAAAACCTCCTGAGAAAATGAGTATCAGTTTTCGTATCCCGGAGTCGGTGGAGGCAAATGAGGAGAGGGCGATGGAGGAGGAGGAGGAGGAGGACGAGGAGGAGGAGGAAGGCGACGAGTTCGAGGGAAGAAGGAGGTTGAGGAGGGGATGAGGGGCAGAGAGGGGGAAACGGAGGAGGAGGAGGTAGAGAAGGACGAGAGATGGGCTGTCGGACGTCCGAGTAGGTCATGCCGAGAGTTATCTTGGAACCCTCTTGGGCTCTAGTGGGGATGTCTGCAGGGCCTCATGTGCCGTCTTGGGGCGAGGTTGAGAAGAACTAGGGGCGATGGGGGGGGCCGCTCAGGTCAATCAGAGTGTAAAGAATTTGACGGCTCTAAGACTGAGTGGAGCTCCTGTTGGTGCTTTTGTATACCATCGGAGGGCCTTCTTGGGCTGTCCTGGGGCCCTCGTGGGCTGTCTGGGGGGGCTTGGGCCGTCCTGGGGCCGTGTTGGGGCTCTCTCGGGCCCTCTCTGAAGCATCCCGTGACTCTGTTGGAGCCCTCTTGGGGGTCTTTTAGGGGTCTCTTGGGCGCTCCCTGGCTTTCTTTGCGCTTTATTGACCCATCTTGGGGCCCCATTGGGCCGCCTGGAAGCCATTTCGGGGCGACCTCGGAAGCTCGCAGATCATTATTGGGCCGTTCGTGGCCAGAAAAGGCGAGAAGCACAGAATCGTTCAAACATAAATGGAAAATTAAGGTTTTTGGCCTGCTGAGGCCGTGTTGGAGGTCTTTGCGGGGGCATCCTGGACAGTCTTGAGCCCATGTTTGGTCCTGTTGGAGCACTATGGGGCCGTCTTGGGACCTCGTGGGCCTTGCAGAGGACGTCTCGGAAGTGCCTTCTGCTGTCTTGGGCTCCCGATGTAGGCCTCGTGTCGCTCTCTTCGGGGTATTTTGGGCCGTCTCGAAGCATTGTGGGGCTCTCTTGGGAGCCTGTGGGGTTCATCTGGGGTCCATGTGGGGGGGGGGGTGTCGGTGACATGCTGGGTTTTTCCTTGTAATTTGATAGGTAGAAGGAATATATATATATATATATATAGAGAGAGACAGAGAGAAACAAAGGGAGAGATATATAGAGGGACAGCTAGAGAGAGATAGAGAGAGAGAGAGAGAGAGATGGAGAGAGATAGACAAACAGAGAAAGAGAGAGAGAGGGAGAGAGACAGAAAGAGACAGAGAGAGAGAGAGAGAGCGACGGAGAGGACGGGAGACACGACTGTATACTGATCGAGGGGGGGAGAAGGAGAGAGGGATGGAGAGACGGTGGCCGCAATCATGCAGCAAACGCTCGCGCAACCACTCTTCAAACAACTCGCTGGCACCATCACCCCTGGCGCGTGAGGTCTGGTTCGTTGCGGCTGTCATCGGTTTGATGACGAAGTGTCGCGTGCGAGGGAGGCTTGGATGTCCAGAGATGCCACACCTCACATGGAACAGTGCTTTTGACAAGGGAGGGTCTGGTTTTCGCCGTGGTGTTCCATGCAATTGCAACTGTATGCCAGGTTCCCATTCGATGCCGCGTCTTTGTTGCTGCATGCCAACTTCCCTCGAATCCTGACGTACCCATCCCATACCTGCGGCGACCAGATTCCTCGAGCCGCGGACCTCTGGAGCGGTCGGTTTCTTCGTGGGCCTGGGGCGGGTTTCTCGTACAGGATTTTTTTTCGCGGTCGTGGGGTGCAGAAGCGCCTCCGTGGATCCCGAACGTCGCCGAACAACTTCAAACCGATCTTCCGAGAGAAACCAGTCCGTTCAACTCAATTGCATTTCCTTTAGCCCATGCTCCTGTCAGTTGCGTTGCCTGGCCCTGTGCTGCATGAGATTGCGTTGCATTTCTTGCTTCGCGTTGCCTTGTATTGTTTTGCCTCCAAATGCGATGCGTTGCACTGCGGTACGTTCTACGCATCCTTTGCCTTAATTTATTTTGCTGGGTTTTGCTTTGATTTGCTATGTGCTGCTGCAAGCTATTGGTTTTGAAGAAGCGAGACCCATAATCGGGCCGCGTCGAATTCATTCAATGTTCGACGGGTGGGCGGCGCTCTCTTGGCGGCCTCAAGCGTTCCCCGAGGGTCTCATGAAACGCTCGGGCCGAGAAGAACTCCCCCCGAAAAGTTCCCACCAACCTTCAGGCGCGCCCCGCTAGCCTCTGCATATCGGAGACACCCCAACACGACCAAGCATGCACCGATATGGAGTCTAGAAACCTGGATGGCCTGCAGACCTCCCTTCCCCAACCGCCATGACTCCTCCCAGGGCCCAGTGGGCCCTGGTAACCAGGAGGACATCCGAACGAAGGACTCTCCTGGACAGAAGGCGAACGCACCAGGGCCATGGACAGTCGGGGGTCGCAAGGTCAACCAAGCCAACTGGCGGCAGCGCAAGCACATTGGCTGGCCAATGCCGTCGTCAAAGCCCCCGCCGCAGAAGCCTTCAAGGACGAGTTCTGCAGGCGCCGATGTGCCAGGCGCCAGGGGCGGCAGCGCAAAGGACACACCAGAGCTGGGGACAGTCGGGGGCAGGGCTGGCCAACCAAATTGGCGGTCGGGTGCAGCGCCGTCCACCGAGGAAATTGGCGGCCAGCGGAGGGCGGACACTGGGGTCGGGGACGATCGGGGACAGCGCTAGCCACAGATACCAGCGACAGCGGAGGACAACACCGAAGCCACGGTCGGTTGGGGACAAGGCCAGCCACTGGTCTCTCGCCAGCGGGAGGCAGTTGATTGCACATTTTTTGGGGGCGCAACGCTTGCGAACGCACAGCGCGGTCGGATCCTACGCGAGGACGCTGCGTAGCGAAGTGTACACACGCGCGCGGGGGACAGTTCACTTCCCACACACGCAAGAGGCCCTTTACTGCAAGCGCTAGTTGGAGAACATCTGATCGGGCGAAGCGCCAGATCCTTGCGCATAAACTCGGGCGTGCCGAAGTGAGCACTGGTAGCGAATGCTCATTAGCGTTGCGGTTGGCGCTCTCTGTGGGTGGCACCCAACGTGTACTGGGTTTGCCAAAATGAGCACTGGTTTCAAATGCGGCCCAGACCACTGCTGCTGTAGTTGTGGCTGCCCATGGGGCTGTCATTTAACCTGGCGCCATAGTTGGGGCCGCCTAGTGGGCCCAAAACGCGAGAGGCTTGTGCCAATGTACACACTGTCAGCGAATGCGGTCGTCCCCCCAGGCGCTGTAGTGGGGACTCCCTTTGGGGCACGAAACATGCGAGGAGTATGCCAAAGTCAGCACCAGTAGCGAACGCGATCGTGCCAGGACCTGGCGTCATAGAAGGGGCTCTCTATGGTGCACGACGCGTGTGACGGGCGTGCTATAGTAAATACAAGTTTCGCCTGCAACCGTGCCCACTGGCGCCGTAGTGTGGACTCCTGAAGGGGCACGACGCGTGCGAGTGAGAATGCGGGGCTGCCCAGTGATGCAATAGATGGGGCTCCGAATGGGGCGTACAACGTGAGAGAGGCGTGTCAAAACGAGCACTGTTGTTGGGGCTCATTTAGAAACATAATGCGCGTGAAGGGGTGCGGCAACGTCAACAACGCTGACGAATGCATGCTCTGTTCTGCTTATTCCCCACATGCTTCGTGGGGTTCTGGTTTTCTTTCCTGCCGCGCCGCACCCGCGACACACACCTCACTTTTCGTACAGCATAGCTCAGCACAGCACAGCACATCACAGCTCAGCACGCAGCTCAGCTCAGCTCAGCACACAACACAGCTCAACACAGCTCAGCACAGCTCAGCACAGCCCAGCACGGCTCAGCTCAGCTCAGCACAGCTCGTGGCACTTTCTCGACACCACAGGGGGTGCGCAGGGGTTGGTCTCTCAGCTCGGCCGCTATCCACGACACTGGCGCAAAGCCTAGCAGGCGTGGCACTCTCTCGACACCAAAGGGGGTGGGCAGGGGGTGGTCTCTCAGCTCGGCCGCTATCCACGACACTGGCGCATAGCCTAGCAGGCGTGGCACTTTCTCGACACCACAGGGGATGCGCAGGGGGTGGTCTCTCAGCTCGGCCGCTATCCACGACACTGGCGCAAAACCTAGCAGGCGTGGCACTTTCTCGACACCACAGGGGGTGCGCAGGGGGTGGTCTCTCACCGCGGTCCCTATCCACGACACACTGCACTGGCGCAAAGCCTAGCAGGCGTGGCACTTTCTCGACACCACAGGGGGTGCGCAGGGGGTGGTCTCTCAGCTCGGTCGCTATCCACGACACTGGCGCAAAGCCTAGCAGGCGTGGCACTTTCTCGACACCACAGGGGGTGCGCAGGGGGTGGTCTCTCAGCTCGGCCGCTATCCACGACACTGGCGCAAAGCCTAGCAGGCGTGGCACTTTCTCGACACCACAGGGGGTGCGCAGGGGGTGGTCTCTCAGCTCGGCCGCTATCCACGACACTGGCGCAAAGGCCTAGCAGGCGTGGCACTTTCTCGACACCACAGGGGGTGCGCAAGGGGTGGTCTCTCAGCTCGGCCGCTATCCACGACACTGGCGCAAAGGCTAGCAGGCGTGGCACTTTCTCGACACCACAGGGGGTGCGCAGGGGGTGGTCTCTCAGCGGCCGCTATCCACGACACTGGCGCAAAGCCTAGCAGGCGTGGCACTTTCTCGACACCACAGGGGGTGGGCAGGGGGTGGTCTCCCAGCTCGGCCGCTATCCACGACACTGGCGCAAAGCCTAGCAGGCGTGGCACTTTCTCGACACCACAGGGGGTGCGCAGGGGGTGGTCTCTCAGCTCGGCCGCTATCCACGACACTGGCGCAAAGCCTAGCAGGCGTGGCACTTTCTCGACACCACAGGGGGTGCGCAGGGGGTGGTCTCTCACTATTCGCAAAGCCTAGGCGTGGCACTTTCTCGACACCACAGGGGGTGGGCAGGGGGTGGTCTCTCAGCTCGGCCGCTATCCACGACACTGGCGCAAAGCCTAGCAGGCGTGGCACTTCTCGACACCGCAAGGGGTGCGCAGGGGGTGGTCTCTCAGCTCGGCCGCTATCCACGACACTGGCGCAAAGGCTAGCAGGCGTGGCACTTTCGCGACACCACAGGGGGTGCGCAGGGGGTGGTCTCTCAGCTCGGCCGCTATCCACGACACTGGCGCAAAGCCTAGCAGGCGTGGCACTTTCTCGACACCACACGGGGTGCGCAGGGGTGGTCTCTCAGCTCGGCCGCTATCCACGACACTGGCGCAAAGCCTAGCAGGCGTGGCACTTTCTCGACACCACAGGGGGTGCGCAGGGGGTGGTCTCTCAGCTCGGTCGCTATCCACGACACTGTCGCAAAGCCTAGCAGGCGTGGCACTTTCTCGACACCACAGGGGGTGCGCAGGGGGTGGTCTCTCAGCTCGGCCGCTATCCACGACACTGGCGCAAAGCCTAGCAGGCGTGGCACTTTCTCGACACCACAGGGGGTGCGCAGGGGGTGGTCTCTCAGCTCGGCCGCTATCCACGACACTGGCGCAAAGCCTAGCAGGCGTGGCACTTTCTCGACACCAAAGGGGGTGGGCAGGGGGTGGTCTCTCAGCTCGGCCGCTATCCACGACACTGGCGCAAAGCCTAGCAAGCGTGGCACTTTCTCGACACCACAGGGGGTGCGCAGGGGGTGGTCTCTCAGCTCGGTCGCTATCCACGACACTGGCGCAAAGCCTAGCAGGCGTGGCACTTTCTCGACACCACAGGGGGTGCGCAGGGGGTGGTCTCTCAGCTCGGCCGCTATCCACGACACTGGCGCAAAACCTAGCAGGCGTGGCACTTCTCGACACCAAAGGGGGTGGGCAGGGGGTGGTCTCTCAGCTCGGCCGCTATCCACGACACTGGCGCAAAGCCTAGCAGGCGTGGCACTTTCTCGACACCACAGGGGGTGCGCAGGGGGTGGTCTCTCAGCTCGGCCGCTATCCACGACACTGGCGCAAAGCCTAGCAGGCGTGGCACTTTCTCGACACCACACGAGGTGCGCAGGGGGTGGTCTCTCAGCTCGGCCGCTATCCACGACACTGGCGCAAAGCCTAGTAGGCGTAGCACTTTCTCGACACCACAGGGGGTGCGCAGGGGGTGGTCTCTCAGCTCGGCCGCCATCCACGACACTGGCGCAAAGCCTAGCAGGCGTGGCACTTTCTCGACACCAAAGGGGGTGGGCAGGGGGTGGTCTCTCAGCTCGGCCGCTATCCACGACACTGGCGCAAAGCCTAGCAGGCGTGGCACTTTCTCGACACCACAGGGGGTGCGCAGGGGGTGGTCTCTCAGCTCGGCCGCTATCCACGACACTGGCGCAAAGCCTAGCAGGCGTGGCACTTTCTCGACACCACAGGGGGTGCGCAGGGGGTGGTCTCTCAGCTCGGCCGCTATCCACGACACTGTCGCAAAGCCTAGTAGGCGTAGCACTTTCTCGACACCACAGGGGGTGCGCAGGGGTGGTCTCTCAGCTCGGCCGCCATCCACGACACTGGCGCAAAGCCTAGCCGGCGTGGCACTTTCTCGACACCAAAGGGGGTGCGCAGGGGGTGGTCTCTCAGCCCGGCCGCTATCCACGACATTGTCGCAAAGCCTAGTAGGCGTAGCACTTTCTCGACACCACACGGGGTGCGCAGGGGGTGGTCTCTCAGCTCGGCCGCTATCCACGACACTGGCGCAAAGGCTAGCAGGCGTGGCACTTTCTCGACACCACAGGGGGTGCGCAGGGGGTGGTCTCTCAGCTCGGCCGCTATCCACGACACTGGCGCAAAGGCTAGCAGGCGTGGCACTTTCTCCCTGTGGGTGCGCAGGGGGTGGTCTCTCAGCTCGGCCGCTATCCACGACACTGGCGCAAAACCTAGCAGGGAACATTCGCGACGAGGGCCCAGAACGCAGGATTGTGCATATATATTATATACATAAGCAAACACATAAGATTTAAATTAAGTATGTGGGGTTCCTCGGTAGCGTAATTTTATATTTACTCTCCGCTTTGGCATGCTGGATGACCACCAACGTGGGCACAAGCTGGCACTGCATACTGCTGCATGGGCACAAAGTGGTCGCGGGCGGAAGACCTCATCATCGGAGGTCTTCTGATGAAACACCGCTGGCTTCACCCTCCTGCCTTCCCGATGGTCTACAGAAAAGTGGAGCTAGAACCTGGATCATAATCTTCTTCAACGTCCGTGCAGTGCTTGGATGTGAATGCGCATCGCTTGCAACCTGCGAAATGTTTGCATTCTGCGTCGGACTCGCATGGCGGCCCCATGGAGAAGGGCTTGCATGATGTCGCCGGTGGAGGACAAGCTCTGAGCCCTGGGACCTTAATATCCTTGCACGGCATACAGCTCTTAGGCGCGGAGTCCCCGTATGGCACTTCACCAAGGGGAAGGTGCGTTTCAGGATCAGCTTCGAGCATGATCCAGACCTCGCTCAGCTGGCAGTCGTCGTCACACACCAGGGCGGCAGACTTGCCGAACCCTTTCTGCATGCTCGATCGAGGCACGTCTGTGCCGGCAGCTGCCTCGATGGCTTTGGCGCCTGACGTTCTGCGCAGCCTGTCGTACGTGTCGTACGTCACCTGGAAGAAATGCGACTCGTTCCATCCGGTGCAGCTCCCATGCTTGCTCCACTGATGTGCGGCCAGCGTCCCCCATGCGTACTCCATGCCAGAAGACTGCCACAGGTCTGTGGTGTTGAACTGCGCAACTGTCGATGCAGATACCTGGCAATCGGCTGCCTTTGGCGGGTTGCAGTTGTGGAAGTCGCCTGCCGGACCAACGCAATACTGTGGCCACAGAGAGCCATTGCGACCCTGAGGGTAGTACTCAGGCCAAAGACCGTGCAAGCTTAGGTGGGTGACCGCGAACGTATCGTTTTTCAACCATGGTGCTAAAGGCGTGCTCCCATCGAGGCATTCATCGAATGACCAAGTGGGCTGCCACATGAATGCAAACACCCAGCGTTGGAAATGCCCAGAATCGGCGCCATTGCAACCCTCGACACGGCTGCAAACCAAAGGATGGCTGACGTCGCTGCCGCCACACCCGTGCAGAACGAGGGAGACGCACGCTAACACACCTATGAACGTCGCGCGGATCAGGGAGTGCAGAGCGCACTCTGACGGCATGCTTGAAGATGTTGCCGACTCCAGCCCTGACGGCTTGAACCAACTGACTGCGGACTGCTAGCGAACGCAATCGTGTCCACTGCCGGGTTGTGTCTACGCGTGTGGTGCACGATGTGCGAGGGGTGTGCCGAAAACCGTACTGGTAGCGAAAAGGATCGTGCTCATTGGTGCTGGAGTTGCCTCCCCCAATGGTGCGCGAGACGTGCGATGGGTGTGTGTGTGTGCCAAAGCGAACACCACCAGCGGATGTAGTTGTGCCCACTGTCGCCTCTGTCGGGGCTCCCCATGGGTCACGAAGCGTGCGAGTGGTGTGCCAAAGCCAGCGCTGGTAGTGCGTGCGATCGCGCCCGCTGGCGCCGCAGTTGGACCCCTTCTGTGGTGCGCGCGACGTGAGGACTGACCAAGTGCAGCGCTGGTAGCGAATACGATCGCGCCCAAGGGTGCCGTAGTTGGGGCTCCTTGCAGTCCTCGCGCTGCCACGGAGGAGCGCCGAAGAAGGAACGAAGAGGCTTTCCTGGCCACGGGGAACCTCGACCACGAACACGTTCCCCGACCCAGATCCAAAGAAACGCCAGAAAATCAGAGCCGCTTCCAGGGCCTCGGGTGGCCCTTATTTTAGCGTGATGACTGTATGGGGGATGGAGCATAACTGTCGTGCTAGAGCGAGCACAGATGGATCATACGGGCGTGCCCCCACTGGCGCCGTAGTACAGTTGGCGCTGGCTCTGCCTTGGTGCACAACGCATGCGAGGAATGCGCCAACAAACTGATCCATTGTAGCGAATGTGGTGGTGCTGCTCATTGGAATCGCGTGCCACGTTTCAGCTGCGTGCCAAAATTATCATAGATAGCGATTGCAGTCGGGATACTGGCGCACTAGTTGCCCCACTTGAGGGTTCTTAGGTAAGATGACTGGCTTGCCGAAGTCAGCGCTGATGGCGAATGCAATCGCATCCGCTGGCGTTCTCGTCAGGGCTACCTGTGGGGCCATGGAACTGTGAATTGTGTATGCGCTCAGATGAACACTGCTAGCCAATACGTGTGTGCCGCTGGCGCCGCACATGAGTGTGCCCACAGCCAGCTGCAGCGGGCAACATCAATACTCTAATGATGAGGCGGAATTGGGGGAGCACGCGAGGAACGGCGATGCGGAGGGGGGGGGGCATGACACTGGACGCCTCATACAATATGATGTGTGATAACCCCGTACAAATCAAACACCTATTTCTGCGTCGCCCGTGTCGCTTCCAGATGGGTTGAATGGGCCCCACGACTGGCCAATCGGCCCCACGGCGACCGAATACGGATTCAAGGGCCGCCTGATCGGGACAAAGCAATCTCAGAACGGGGCAATCACAGCTCGATACGGGTCCACTGTGGCCTCGATACTTGGCTAATGCATCGTCAAACATTTCCCCAGGCAACACAAAACTGCCGCAAGAAAGACATTTGACACCCCCTGCGACCGAAACTTGCTCAACTAAACTTCCTAAGATTTGGCGGCACCTCCGCTGGTCTACCCAATGGCGACTGCCAAATCTACGGCCATGATATTCTCCTCTACGCATGACGCGCGCCACCCAATACACCCGTGATTGCATGTTCTCTCTGCCTCAATGGACCTAGTGACCTAGAGGACGAGAGTCTGACACATTTTTAAATTTTGCGCAATTTGCGCGGGTTTCACAAAGTTGCCGGAGAAACATGTCATCTCGTACAAGGCGGCACAGTCTTAGCACCGCTTCATACGATATGCAAAGCGTTTTGGGCTGAAGGCAATGATTAAACGTCGGCCGAGGCGAGGCGAGACACAACAGGTGAGCAACGAGGACACAAGGGAGGACTGGGAACCCGCCAAGAATATACTGCAGGAAGGTGCAGCAGGCAGAAATCGCAACTTTTCAAGCGCGCGCGTGTCTTCCCTTGGGGTACCCAAGAAGAACAAATATCCCCAGCAAGTCCGGCCAGTGATAGTCTTGAACCTGGGTGCGATCCTCAAGTCGCTTAACACAGCCGAAGGACCGCCCCACAGGACCTCCGAGAGAGCCCAGGAGCGGCCCAGGAGAGGGAACCATTTTATAGCAGGCTCCAAGATGCCCCCAATACGTGGTTTGTTCGATCTTACCTCTCTTTTGAACTTTTCATCGGCCTCAGGACTGCTTTCTGACCTGATGAGGGCGGCCTTCGAGGCCTCCACGTCCTCGTCGTCCTCCCTGTCCTCCTGCTCCTCCCCCGGTCCCTGGCGAAGCTGTCTTTGTTTCACTCAGATTTGTCCTTCTGCGGGGGGCAGGGTTACACAAATAGTTGATTTTGCCCTACTGCTTCTCCTGCTCGTCATTCTGGTCCTCATCCTAACCTTCCTTTTTCTCCGAATGCTGCCTCTCCTTCTGCTCCTCATTCTCCTGCTGCTGCTGAGGAAGATGATCGCTGTGTTGATACTGCTGCTGATCGTCATCCTTATCCTGCTGATGTTCATCCGTCTCCTCCTCATCATTCTCCCCCTCGCGGTCCTACTGCTGCTGCTGCTGCAAATTACCATTATCACCACAACCACCATCATCATCATCATCATCATCATCATCATCATCATCATCATCATCATCATCATCATCATCATCATCATCATCATCATCATCATCATAATCGTCATCATCACCACCATCATCATCATCATCATCATCCTCATCATCATCATCATCATCATTATCATCATCATCATCGCCATCATCATCATCATCATCACCGCCATCACCATGAACAACATCGCCATGTTCATCAGCATTACCATCACATCATCCGCATCATCATTCTCATTATCGTTATCACCATCACCATCACCATCATCAGCATCATCATCACCACAACCATCATCATCACCATCACCATCATTATCATCATCAACATCATCATCTCTATCATCAACACCACCATCATCACCACTATCATCATCATCACCATCACCATCACCATCACCATCATCATCATCATCATCATCATCATCATCATCATCACCAAACCATCATCATCATCACCATCATCATCATTACCATGACCATTACCATCATTATCATCATCGTTATTATCATCTGGCGGCTGCTGCTCCACATATTATCCACGATGCAAGCGAGAATGAATAGTATCCGCAGGTGGCTGATAACGAGACGCAAGAGGAGGATGAGGGACAGCATAAGGAGCCTGCTGCAGCTACAGGTCTAACATAGTTCTACCAGGGCTACAACTTTGAAGCTTTGTTATAATCGTTTGTCAGCTCCAGGTCGAGTGCACTCAGTTTATTGCTACAACTGTAATGCAACCTTCGTGCGACTGCAACACAACACATATGCTGCGACGCTAATATTTTCAGACGAATGCGGCCTATGGCCCTGTTAGAATGCTAACAGTATTTGGGTGCGGCTCCATTGTCATTCACCTAGAGCTGGCCACACGTCACGCAGGCCCTCACTGAAGCTACAGCTCTAATCCCACCAGCGCTCCGGGCGGTGGTGGTTTAGGGCGCTTTCTCCTCCTCCTCCTCCTCCTCCTCCGCCCTTTCCTCCGCCCTCTCCTCCTCCTCCTCCTCCTCCTCCTCCTCCTCCTCCGCCCTCTTCTCCTCCTCCTCCTCCTCCTCCTCCTCCTCCTCCTCCTTCCACTTTTCTCCTCCCTGGGGAAGGGCTTGCCCCTGGCCCCCTTCCCCTGGGCCTGGCCGGGGAAGGGGGGGGAGAGGCGGCGCGTGCCAAGGTGGGAGCGCCCAGCACGGCCCAGCAGCGTTCCAAGAAGGCTTTCGGCAGGCTGACACGGCCTCCATGCCCCAAAAGAGGCCCCCAAGAGGCCCCAAAGTAGGCCCCAAGAGGCCCCAAAAATGCTTCAAAAGAGGCTCCACGAGGCCCCCAAGAAGCTCAAAAGAGGCTCCAAGAATGCTCTTTTGGGCTCCAAGAGCATTCTTGGAGCCCAGAAGAGGCTCCAAGAATGCTTCAAAACTCTTTCTAAGAGGCCCCCGAAGAATGATGGGTTCCAGAGGCCGGCCGACATCCCCAAGTCGGCTCCACGCGGCCACGGAGATTCCTCAGGAGGCCCCCCAGAGGGCCAGATCATTCCCAGACCTTGCGAAGTCACTTGGTCTTTGGTCGTTTTGGCCTTTTCACTTCCGAATGGCTTCTGAGGCCTCAATCTGGCTCTAGGATGGCCCGACATTTCCCCAAGAGGGGCCTACCATGGCCCCAAGACGGCCGAGAGAGCGCAAAAGAGCGCCCCCGACGGCGACTTTGGGGGCCACAGACGGGTGTGGGGGACCTTGTTATGATCCCCCTTTCTTTTATCGATGTCATCCAAGATTGCCTCAGGAAGGCCCTTCAGGCTTCCAAGAGGACCCCAATAGATCACCGAGATGGGCTTCACATGGCTCCAAGAGTGCTTGGAAGGCTTCCAAATGGCCCCAATAGAGCTCCAAACGGTTACGTCGTGATCCATGGGCGAATATATCCGCCACCGTGCCTCGAGGCACGAAGTGGAGTGTTCTCAATCCCCTGAGCTTCAGTCCTCAATCCTGAGCATTCCTTTATCGACCCAGAGCCCACATTCCAAGTTTCTCTGGGGCTTGCCGCGTGCCTCCTAGGGTTCCTAGCGGCTTGTCGCGTGAGGCCCCCGAGATCGCCCCAAGACGGCCTAAGAGGCTGCCAAGACGGCCCAAGAGGGCCCCAAGACGGCACAAGAGGCGACCAGACGCCCTAAGAGGGCCCCACGACGGTCCCAAGAGGGCCCCAGGGGCCCCCAAGAGGCCCCGAAGAGGATCAAAAGCGGCCCCGAAATGGCCCCCCAGATGACTCAAAACTGCTTCCAAGAGGATCACGAAAAGGCCTCGTACGAGATCCCAACGAACGTCTACGAAGCCTCCGAGGCACTGAGGCAGGATGGGCCGACAAATATATCGTATGCTGGGAGCATGGGTTGTTTGAAGAGTGCTGCAAGCGCATGTCGTTTTGCAAGTGCCTGGTCCTGGGAGA